CTTCTAGAATGTACTGAGACGTTGACTCCTTGATTTGCCAGAAGAAAAGGACCATGTTGTGAAGACTAGGATTTATCAAGACTGGCGGTAAAGATTTCCTGGCAGGCTCGGCAAAAATATCCAGATTTAGTTGGTTGGTTATTCACAACTAGTATTTGGGATCTGCCGGCTAAGCTGGTGGTTTACACCCTTGGTATAAACCTCCCTTAGGTGAAAATTCCGATATATCGAGAATGCTAAATTTTTTGCGGACAAAGTTTCGACTTGATTTTCAGGCCCATTAAAACCAAATGTTCATTTCGGGATTTTTATACTTCAGGGTCGATACGAGAAACAAAACAGACGTCACAAAGCGGTTAAAGAAAAGAATAACGAGAGAGGAAAGAGGAGTAAGGCGCGAAATGAGGAAAGACTCCTACGTCATAGCAAGAAGCAGTCTCAAGCAGATCAGGGCGAGGTGAGCATAAATTTGCCCAAAGATCATATATATACATATATGTGCTCGAACTTTTCTAATAAATTTAAAAACATTTTCATTTTAGCGACGAAATCAGAAAGAAGAAGACACAAGCAATACTCAATTCTCTCCGAAGTATTGAGTGAAGAAATTTATTATTAAATTCAATGCATCAAAATCCAAATCGCTTTTTATACAGAGGAGGAGGTAATTTGGACAGCACACTGCCGGGTTCGACACGCACAACCGCTATTTCTCCGGGTGATATCACATCACATTGTATAATGCCCTTAAAAAAGAAAAAAAATTGTTAGCTCATTACTGCAACTAGAAACAAGAGTCAAGAATTCATTCTCACTGAGTGGTGGATGACCATTTTTAAGGAGTCATTTGATCGAGTATTGGACTTCTTTCTTCCAAGAGCAAGCGCGACGGTATCTTCAAAATAGGGCTAAAATGTGTAAAATAATTCAAAATTATGTTGTGCCATTCCTCTGAACGCAATGCAGGCAAAATCTTAGAGTTGAAGTGATGCATGATATTGGCCCATACAAGGTTAAAAATATCGTCGCAGTATCAAGGTAATGTCAACACTGGCATAACTATTATAGAAACGTATGAAGAACAATGTATTAAGGAGGCAGTTGCATTCGAGAATAACAAGGACATAATAAATGAGACAATCTCACCTGGTCCATTCGTAATATAAAGATGCGACTTTCGGTGGCTAGAAGCCAGCTGCTGTCGGAAAGATAAGCCATAGAATGGAGTGTACCTATGCGGTGCCAATATTTTGATTGTTGATTAAAGAAGTCCTCCAGCCATGAATTTATCTCGGGTAAGCCGATGTTCTCAATGTTCATGCCGTCTGTGTCAGACTCATGTAGTTGGTCAGTGGTTGCAGGTGTGTGGCGTGACTTCTTGCTGGATTTTGTCAAGGGAGGCGATGTTTCGACCGTAGCATCTATAGCATTGTTATTAGCTGCGGACTCTATAGGATACATTGGGAACGTCCATTCTTTGAGGCGGCCATTCGTGTAGAGAATGCTAAGGCGCTGTCTCTGGCCTTTATTCTCTTGGATGTTTGATTCAGGTAGGATGTGGTGAGGATAAAGGAATTGTAGAACGACGATCCGGGGACAGAGCCGGCCATCGATCAGACTCGATGGTAGACGGGGACATGTAAACAAGGACTGGCCGTCGCTGAGTCGATGCACGAATACATGTCCAGAACTCATTGCCAATCCGACGAGGGAAAATTGTACGGAAGACTCAGGACTGACAGCAATTTGAGTGACTCGAGCGTCTTCGTGGTCGTCGTCTGTTATCAAGTATAAAAGTACGGAGTATTGTAAGCTTAGGCTCAAATACCTACAAATTGCTACATGCACATTTAAGGTTAGGATTTTTTGGCTGTCGATGAGAAAAGATCAGCTGAATCTTCATTTAACATTAAATGGTATATCACAAGTGACAAAT